GCTCCAGGCTGTCAGCACAGAGCTTGATGTGGGGTTTGAACTCAAGAATTGCGAGATCATGGCCTGAACCAAAGATGGACGCCTAACCAACTGAGCCACCAAGGCGCCCTTCCCTTACAATATTTTGTTGAAGACAGAATGTTTCCAGAATCCCAAGTGTTCCCTTGTGCTGTTTCTCCATTAACCCACCTCCTCCAAGGAGTCGCTATTCCACCTTATCTCTGCCTGGATTGGTTTCGCCTCTTCTGCCTACTCTTTGGTTTATGGCTCCTTTTGTTCAACACAGTGTCTGTGATAAGTATCCATGTTGCTGCAGATTCAGTTCGTTCTTTTTTTGCTGTGCCATAAAAGTTCTTATGTTAAACCTGCTATGTGTTATTGATTCGCTCTCTTTCCCAGTGATGGAGTTTTGGATTGTTTCCAGAATTTGGCTAATATTAATAATGCTGCTATAAAAATTCCTGTGCATTTTGTTTTTGGTGGACATATCTGTCAATATCTCTTTAATGAGATTCCATGAGTGGGATTTCCAGATCAAATGTTAGGCACAGGTGCAGTTGAGCAGATATATTTTTTTGTCCAATGGCTTTCTAAAAACATTTACATTCCCACGGACCAATCTTACGACTTCTAGTCACTCTGAATCTTTTATAAAAGAGGTATTGTCAGTCTTTTAAAATTTTTACCCATTTTGGAAAGGGTGTAGGGATACCACATCATTACATTAATTTGCATTCCCTGATGAGTAAAGCCTCTCATTAAACATTTGGATGTCTTTTCTTGTGAGGTGCCAGTTCAAGTCATTTGCTTGTCTTTTTGTTAAAAGTAGGATTATCTGTATTTCTCATTGGCTTATAAAAATTTATTATATATTCCAAATATGAGTTAGTTGTATGTATGCAGTGGTGTGTGGTAAATGTTTAATAATTGGCTCTCTATAAAACAAAACAAAACAAAACAAAACCAAAACAAAACAAAACAAAAAAAACGAGCCCTGATTTGTTGCATGTCCCTGCTTCTGTGCTGTAAACACACCACAGCTACCACCATGATGTTCTGAGCACAGACCTGGGAAGAGCTGATACACGTGTGCTTCAGCACTCCATTGGATATGAGCATTACACAGGACTCTTCCTAGAGGGGGTTTAATTTCTTCATCCTCTTGATGGGGTCCTTTTAAAAGAGTCAACTTCAGGGGCACCTGCATGGCTCACGATCTCACAGTTCGTGGGTTCGAGCCCCGCGTCAGGCTCTGTGCTGACAGCTGGGAGCCTGGAGCCTGCTTCCGATTCTGTGTCTCCCTCTCTCTCTGCCCCTCCCCCGCTCACACTCTGTGTTTCTCTCTCTCAAAAATAAATAAACATTAAAAAATTTTAAATAAAGAAGTTAACTTTATTGAGGTTTGATTACATACTGGAATGTGTATCCATCTAAAGTTTCCATTTGTTGAGTTTTGGGAAAATCTGCCCCTGCATGCCCACTGCCATGAGCAAGATGGAGAACTTTTCCATCATCCCCCAAATTTCTCATGTGTTCTTAATCCCACCTCCTTTTAGCCTTGACCTGGGAAATTCCAGATCTCCTTCCCATCTAGGTTAGTTTTGTCTTCTCTACAGTTTCACATAAATTAAATTACATTACACCAATTCTTTGGGTTTGACTTCCTCCCCTGAGTATATTGAGATGTATAAACATGTACGTGATTGCCTTCTTTCTGTGATGAGTAGCATTCCATTGTGTGGATATAACACAATTTGTTTATCCACTCAGCTGTTGATGCACATATGGCTAGTATGAACATTCGTGAGCAATTCTTCATGTGGACTTGTGTTATCTTTGCTCTTGGGTAAACAGCCAGGGGTGGAATGTCTGGGCCACATGGTTGGCATATGATTAAGAGACTGCCAAACCTGTTCCAAAGTGACTGTACCCGTCCACGTTCCCACAGGCGCATGCGTACGCTCTGGTTCTTCCACATCCTCCCTGACACTCGGGGTAGTTAGACTTTCTGACGTGCGGCGTAGACTACCCCGAGTTAGTCTAGTTAGTTAGGCGTCCTAATGGATGTGGTGTGGTTCATGGTGTCCTTTGACGAATAGGAGTTCCTAATTTTAATGAAGTCCAACGCAGTGATTCTCTCCTTTTATGTTTAGTGTTTTTTTAATGTACTATTTCCAGTCTTTGCCTACCACACATGGTGAGGATATTCTCCTGTGTGTCCTTCTGGACCTCCACTATTTCACCTTCCACATGAAGCCCTAAGATTCCTGCCTCCCCTCCATTAATTGTGTGTGTGGTGTGAGGTAAAAGGCAGTTTGTTTTGCCCACATGGAGAGCCAGTGGGCCGGTCTCACCACTACCCCGCTGAACCGCAGTGACATCCTGATTGGGGATCAGGTGGCACTGGGGGTGAGGGTCGTTACTGGGCCCCTGGGAGGCCCCTTGGTCTGTAAGTCTGATCCACATCTGGATCTTGTGCTTTGTGTGACAGATAGTGTCGCCCTGTCCTTTCAAGTTCTCTTAGGATCCCTATCTTTTCAAGTGTCTTAGCTTTCCTGACACTGATTTCAGGGATGATCTTTCCTAGACAGTTATCCCCTTTGCCTAAAAAGTTTGATTGTGTTGACTTAAAGATGTATATTTTTCTATAATTTCACATTTTCTCCATCGCCTGTCGTGTGCCTGTTTTCATATTCGATACACATTATCTCTCTTTCAGGTTTCCAACATTTTTAATCTTTTATAGACCTTTTAAAAACACTCCGTTTTCTTGATTAGATCTACTATTGCTTTTTCTGTTTTTAATTCATTAATTTTATTAATTTGTTTCTTTTTTTTCCTTTGGAAGTTTTTTTTTTTAACTTTCTGAATTGAAATCTTACTTATTGTAAACTTTGCTTATTTTCTGCTGTATGTCCTTAAGGATTTGGTTGCCCCCTGAATCCTGCTTCACTCAAACCCCCAGGCTCTGAGATGTAGGACTTGGCTTCCTTTATGTCCTGGGAACTTGCAATTGCGTTTCTGTTTCCTTTCCAGTTTGAGAAAGCAACTTTAAATTTTCCCAATGAAACTTCTATTTATTGCTCTAAGTTTGTCTTACTGAATCTGGCTCAGGAATTGGTCTATGTAACATGTCTTTACTTTTCTGGCTAGTATTTTGACTATAAAATATTTCAAAAAGCATAGAAAATAATATAATAGACATCCACGTACCTAGGAATTAACAGAAATCTTCACCTCTTGCCATACTTGCAGAATATTCCAGATGCCGTCAACACCCTCATGTGCCCACCCCACTCCCTCCCTTGGGGTAGCCAGCCCCTGTTTGGAGGCTGGCGTTCACACCCCCCACACACACCTTTGTAGTTTTAGTAGAGTTGTTTACAGTCGTGAAGACAAGATACTCCTCTGTGCTTTTAACCTTCCGATGTGTGCTCTTCTGCACGGATCGGTTGCAACGTGATTCTTGTTCTCACTCCATGTTATGTTTTTGAGACCCATTCACATCGATGTGTTTCTCCGGTTCAGTCCTTTTAACCGCTACATGCACTTCCTTTGTGTGCACACGCGCACTCTAGCTGTCCATTCTCCCGCCGAGGAGTGCCCGCTGGTTTTTAACATTGACGCTTTTTGAGCTCCGTGAAATAACCCACGTGGGGGTCAGGTGCAGCCCGTGAGGTCTTCTCCAGGAGAGCCACCTTGGGGTGTGCATGGACTCGGCCTCTCCGGGTTGTTACCACTTTGCCCCAAAACAGGAGGACTGTCGCCGGCAGCACTGAACAGAGAGCCATGCTTGTTGTCAGACTTGGACATTTCCGCCAATCTGACGGGGGGG